ACTTGTATCGATTAAGACTGTTCCCTACTAGATTTATAGAGTAATGCTATCAACCTGTTTTATGACTGTCTATGTATAGAGCACTTTATAACTCATTTCTGGTTTATACCAACTTTATTTGTGTGTGTGTGTGTGTGAAAAGGAAATGAAATGTTTATTTAATGCTATTCAGGCCTAATGCCTCTACTAAAATATTAAAGTCCTTTAGGGTATACACCTACACCCACACAGCTCTCCCTTCTCCCACTGTCCCAACTCCGGGTACTGTAAATCAGGAAAAGAGCACATGTTCGTTTTTCCAGGCCACTGGTACCATCAGCTGTGTTGACAGTCAGGCAGGATCTCCAGTTAATCCAAAGTACTGTGGCACCGTCTCACGGTCCACTGGCAAGAGTTCTTTGTACCAAGTTCCAGGCAAAGACTCTCCTGCTTCCCAGGCCACACGGCCAAAGGAAGCATCCCAAAGCTGCGTGGGCCTCTTCTACGAAAGTTGCGGGGGTCCGCACTCCACCAAAAGCCTGTGACTTTCTTCTTCACCTGGCTGCAGGGATCTCCATTCTGGCAAAGCCGCGTGGTTTTCCCTTTCACCTGGGAAAGAGGGCGTCCGCGCTCTGCCAAAACCATGTGTCTCTCTTTCACCTGGCTGCAGGGGTGTGCCCTCTCACCAAAACTGCATGGTTCTCCCCTATATGACTGCAGGGGTCCTCATTCTGCCCCAAACCGTGTGGCTCTCTCTTCACCTGGCCAAGAGGGGACCCTTACTTTGCTGAAACTGCATGGCTCCCTCCTCACCTGGGCAGTTATTGCCCCACGTCCTGGAGCCAATCTATTCCAAGCTCTCACACAGGCGCTGTAACTCAGGGGACTTACCCCTAGTTACATCCTGGGTAGAAGCCACTCCCTTCTCCCTGGCTCAAAACTTGGCCACAGCTATTTAACATATCTATGAAACCAGTTAAAGGTTATAGATATGTTAAATGACCACTCTAGAGGTTAGCTGCAAAACTGTTGCTATGCAAAACAGCTCTCAATGGCCCTGCTCCATTTGTCTCTTCCCCCCTGGGGTGGGGGACGTGGTGAGGACATCTTATATGTCTCTCCAATATTCCTATACACTTTGAATTCTGGACACCATTCCAAATCTTTTTTTGTGGCCCCTCCTTGGCTGCACCCTGTATCAATTATAAATTCATACAATTTAATAAGTAATTAACAAAAATATTTTTTAGGTCTTGGATAGACCCTCGAAAGAAATTGGTAAGGTAAAACACACCCCCTCCCTCAGCAATCTCTCAAGGAAGAGAAAGGCTGTGTAGCTAAGTGCAGATATGATGAGAGGAACAAGAAGCTATTTTATGATGTTAGTGTTACCGAACAAGAGGTCCGAGGGAGGGGCAATACAATATTTGGCCCACCTAGGGATGCCCAAAACTGCTATACAACAGAGGCCCCTCCCAAAAACAAAATACTAATATCTACTGGGCTCTTCTGTCCGCCGCCAATTGGAAAGACATCTCTCAATGCCAGAGATTTGTGAAAAGGAAACAAAATGTTTATTTAATGCTATTCAGGCCTAATGCCTCCACTAAAATATCAAAGTCCTTTAGGTTGTACACCTACACCCACACAGCGCTCCCTTCTCCCACTGTCCCAGCTCCGGGTATCGTAAATCAGGAAAAGAGCGCACGTCTATGTCTCAGGCCGCTGGCACCGTCAGCTATGTCACTGTGCAGGATCTCGAGTTAATCCAAAGTGCTGTGGTACCCTCTCATGGTCCACTGGCAAGAGTCCTTTGTACCCAGTTCCAATCAAAGTCTCTCCTGCTTTTTCAGGCCACGCAGCCAAAGGGGGCACCCCAAAGCCACGTGGGCCTCTTCTACCAAAGCCGCAGGGGTTCACGCTCCACCAAAAGCGCATTGTCTTTCTTCTTCACCTGGTGGCAGGGATCTCCATTCTGGCAAAGCTGCGTGGTTTTCCCTTTCACCTGGGCAGTTCTCCTCTCATGTCCCAGAGCCAGTCTTTTCCAAGCTCTCCCCTAGGCCTTCTCACTCCGGAGCGCAGACCCTAGTTTCCATCTTGAGTCCCCAAGCCCTACTCACTCAGGAGCGCAGCCCCTCGTTTCCATCCTCGGTCCCAGCCACTACCTTCTCCCTGGTTCCAAACTTGGCCGCTGCTATTTAACATATCTATGAAACCAGTTTAAGGTTATAGATATGCTAAATAATCATTCCAGAGGTTAGCTGCAAAACTATTGCTATGCAGAACAGCTCTCAATGGCCCTGCTCCATTCGTTTCCTCCCCCTGGGGGGGGGGGGAGGGTGAGGACATCTTATATGTCTCTCCAATATTCCTATACACTTTGAATTCTGGACACCATTCCAATCCTCTTTCTGCCCCCCCCCCTCGCCCCCCGGCTGCACCCTGTATCATTAGGAGACAGTAAAGACAACTAACCTTGTTTGCGAGGGAAAACATTCTGTGGAAAGGATATTCAAGCTGAGATTTTATACATGAAACATTAAATTTCCCACTATTTAAATTCAATAATTTTTGTGTGACCATATTGTAAATTGAGTCTAGATTAATGAATTAAAATGAATAATATTTATCTAGGTAAATTTGATAAGCAACAAGATAAAAACAATGTGAATAGTAATACAAGAACTAGTGATGTGGGAAACTTTGAACAACCTTTTGTTCACCCAAACCCCAAGCACCCTGGGAAGAGAGATAAGGCCCATTGGGAAAGTAAACAACAGGATGTTCTCAAGGGCTAAGATTAGCAACCCCCCCCCACCCCCAGTCAGAACCAACTTCCATATTCCACTTCTGTATTCCGCTTTGCTACATTATAGGAAAATCGAAGCAACCAGACACCGAGGGATTCTGGAGTACGAGGTTTATTACTAATGTGCACGGGCCCAGAGGAGTCAGCCTCCAAATTCTGAGCCCCGAATAAAGGATTCTTGGGGGGGGTTATATAGCTTAGGGGTCTTCCTGTCTATGTGACAAAAGTGGGATACAGAAGCAGAATGTGATCATTGGTTCTATCAGCAGGGGTGCTAGTCCCAGTCCTACTGACTATCCTGCTCTTTGCTTTTCCCAGACGGCCCCATCACTCTCCCAGGGCGCCTGGGGTTTTGGGTGAACAAAGATCTTCCAAAGCTTCCCACATTATTCCCCCCTTTTATGCTAAACAACATTAGTGCTTGTTTTAGCATAACAACATTTTTGTAGGAATAAACAAGTCCCCCCTTTTCCTGGATTCAGAGCATTAATGAGGTTTCTTTCCTCATCATTTTTCTCCTCCTGTGATCTACTATCAGGGAGGGGTTCTGAGGCCTTTTTCTCCTTTTGGATTATTGTATACTTCTTTGTAGAACTACTTACATAGTTCTAACAAAGCAATCAAAGATTTAGAGCAAAAAGAATACAGATGGTGTAAAGACCAGGTATTTCCCTTGCTATCACCTATAATTCTAGTTCTATTATTGCAAAAGAGCAGTCAGAAACCGTTTTTTAACCTAAAATACTTTCATGTCTTTGCTCCCTACTTGCACTGTCCCAACTCTGGGTACTGTAAATCAGGAAAGAGTACACATCTGTGTTTCAGGTCGCTGGCACCATCAGCTGTATCAGGCAGGATCTCTAGCCAATCCAAAGTTATGTGGCATTCCCTCACGGTCCACTGGCAAGAGTTCTTTCGTACCAAGTTCTAAAGTCTCTTTTGCTTTCTAGGCCACGTGGCCAAAGGGGGAACCCCAAAGCCATGTGGGCTTCTTCTACTGAAGCTGCAGGGGTCCCCACTCTGCCCTAAACCGAGTGGCTCCCTCTTTTACCTGGGTACTTATCCCTTCATGTCCTGGAGCTGATCTTTTCTAAACTCTTATACAGGCCTCCCCCCTCAGGGGCTCTGCTCCTAGTTACATCCTGGGTAAGTGACTTCATTCCCCTAGCTCTAAGCCTGGCCACACTATTTAACACATCTACAAAACTAGCCAAAGGCCACAGATATGTCAAATAATCACTCTAGAGGTCAGCTGCAAAACCGTTGCTATGCAAAACAGCTCTCAATGGCCCTGCTCCATTCGTTCCTTCCCCCTGGGGGGGTTGAGGACATCTCAATATTTCTTGGACACCCCAAACTCTGGACCCTATCCTAAATCCTTTCTGGGGGCTCCCCTTGGATGCACCCTGTATCAACATTCCTCCTTTCAGATTTACACCCACTTTATAATCATATAAAGGAAAATGGACAAAGGTCTCATCTTCTTTTGCTTCTGGCTGGAAATGGACGCTGTACTACCTACCCCTGGGTCAGGGGTGCCCTGAAAGGGGGGGGGTCAGCAAGGAGGGAGTCCTTCCTGTAAGGGGAAGGACCTTACAGGGTCCTGGTCAGTTGGCTGTCACCAGGAAGTCACAGGCTTGGCGTCCGAAGGCTGGCATTACTGGACTGTTGGCATACTGGTCAGGTTGTATTCTGGGAAGGTCTCAGGACTCTGGTTTCAGGAGCCCAGGAAGCGCCCAGGGCCCTTTCCACCCGCAGGCCTGGGGACACCACAGAGCTGCCCTCCATCCACTCTACCAACTTTAAAGATAGGTAGCAACAGTCCTTTTAAGAGATGAGGAAACTGAGCTCTGTCAGAGGGTTATATAAATTGGCCAAGATCTATTGGCCAGAAAGTGCTAATGCCACCACTGGACCAAGTAGGTGATTTTCAAGTCAATGCTCTTTATCACATTATGCAATTTCTCTTGACACCAAATAGAAATATTTGCCTTTTGATGAAGAATTATACTGAAAACTTTTAAATGTGCAAGACTAAGCTATAATTTTGGATCGAAAGGTGGCGGAGTTAGAATTCTGAAGCAGAGACTTTGCTCACTAGTCAGTTGCTTTTTCTGTCCACTCTCAATCTGGCAAATGCCTGTGATGAACCTCTGCACATTTAGCTCACTCTCACTTGATCATCCTCACATATTTTTTCATTTTGTAACAGGACATGGTGACCAAAGCATCTACTTACCTGTTTGAAGCCACAGGGAAAAGACTTTATTTCAAACAAGTATCAATATTAATTCCTGAGACTTGGAAGGAAAACTCTCTGTACAAGATACCAAAATATGAAAACTATGAACAGGTAAGAGTCAAAAAACTTTTCTTAAGATATTAAATTTTCTGGTTCTCCACTGTGCTGCAAATTGTTTCAGAGTTTTCCAATCTAAATGTTATCGTTTGTATTTCTAACATTTTAAAAATCTTCTTAAACATTCTCAGGCTGATGTTTTAGTTGCACCACCTACCCAAGCAGGCAGAGATGAGCCATACACCAAGAAGTTCACAGCTTGTGGAGAAAAAGGAAAAAACATTCATCTCACCCCTGACTTTGTACTTGGAAAAAAACAAAGTGAATATGGACCAACAGGTAGGAATTTAGGTCAACATATAGTTTGTGATGATTCCAAAAAGCAGCTATGTATCCAGGTTAAGTGTACAAGCCTTAGAGCTCCGCTGCTTATTGGCTCTGTGTGACCTTCAATAAGTGAGCTAGCCTCTTTGAGCTTATTTCCTGTGAAATGGTGAATAGAGGAATTACTACTTTATAGAATCATTGTGAATGTTAAATTAGATAATCCATGTAACTGTACTTAGTAGAGTGTCTACAGACATTTGAACACAGAACAACAATAATAAGTCTTTTTCTTACAAAACATACTTTTCATCTCTTAATTTTTCAGTTCTCCACAGCTGGATATTAGTCAATCACATGCCACCTTGATGGAAGGCAAATGCATGAAAAGCTGAAAAAAAGCCAAGATGACAGTTCCCAGACAAGAGAAAACACTCTTGGGCTGTAGTTGCTGATATTATCATTTAACTTCTTTGGTTGAAGCAGATGTGCTTGTCTATTAGTGATCACTCTTACCTATAAAGAATGGCAGTTTCATCTAGCTCAATCCAAAAGTTAAGATCATTGATTCAAATGAACTAAAGCACATTTTTTCATATATCACTAAACAGGAAAACATGCCTGAATCCATATACCCCAAGATTATCTCTCCTTCTTCAATTGTCCATTCAATGAGCATTCACTAAGTCTCTCATTTCTGTCAGTTAGCTCTGGTTCTCATCATTACCTGAACCTGTTTCCCCCGCAGTCTTGAAAGCTCTATCATCTCATCCCATACCAAACTTGATTCTCTCCCATACTTTAGTCTGACCATGTTTCTTCTCTTTGGCACCTCTAATCTTTTGCTCCCTTATAGCTTTAATTGTGTCCCTACCTAGAATGTTTAGCAAGGTATAAGTAGTTCAAGTCCCTCACCATTTTTATCCTTATGTTTCATTCAACTTGCCAAATCCTCTCTGCTGAATTTCCAGCTAATTTCCATTTGCTCCTGTTAATGTTTCCAAGATTGTGAAAGAAAATTACAAAATTAATTGGTATCATTACAAAAACACATTTTTCAAACCTAGTGAAGCCCTCAAACCTACTCAGCAATGTTGTACTTGCCTCTTCTCAATTCCCTTTCTCATTCCTCAGGAACTGTTTTAAAACTTCTACCATATTTTTCAAGATCTCCAGTCACTTCATTCAATATCATCAGTCAACAGATGCCTTCATTAAGAAAACAGAACCCCTACTTTTTCTTCTCTACTTCTAAACTCATGCCAACATTCACCTAATCTTAATTGAGGAGAATTTTCTTCAATTTTTAAAGATAACATTCCCACTTGAGCTCTTGCTCTTTTCTTGTACCCCTCCCCTCAGCCCTATTCCATAACTGACAGTTTTCCCCCTCACTTTTAGACAGAAGTTTCCCCTATAATGTTAAACAAGTGTTTGTGAAAACTCACATTCTGAAAAAACAGTGTTCTAACAACAATACAGCTCTTGAAAAATAAGATTAAGAACATAGTCCTCAAAATATATGCAATTTGTAATAAAATGATAAGAACAACAATAATTGCCTGAAGTATATTTTAACCCTCCTGGTATTAGCTCGGTTTGCTGGAGACTGCCATCACAGTAGATATTAAAAGTACACAGACAAAGAGCGGAATGCTGTTAGAATTGAGAACTGGGCTAGTGGGAACTGAGACGTGATGTACTTCATACTTCCAACTTCCCCTTCTCCATGTCTATTTCCTTGAAGCTTTGCTAATATTAATAAAACAAAAATCCTACTTGGTTTTTCTTCCATCAGGTTGTGGATTTACCTTTATTTTTCCATTTACCCTGAAATTCTTAGAAAAAAAATGTTTTTATTCTGACTCCCTGTAAGTTCATCCTAATAAAAGAATATCTTATTCACTTTATATTTTTAGTACCTAGTATAGTGTTAAGTATATAATTTATAATTATTTTCATATAATTAATGCTTATATGTCCTAAGTGCTATAAATTAATCACTTCATTTAGATATCCTCAGCATTATATATGATCTATACTAATCTATACTAGTGTTTTCAATCTTTTTTTATTATTGATTCCCCTAAAAAATATTTATAGACATTTTTAACATTTAGTTAAAACTTTCATACCACAAATTTACATATCTGTTCATGTTGTTAGTAGGAGTTGTGGTGGGGTTCTGCCCTCAGGGGTCCCCAATCCACCACAGATAAGAAGTCTACCAAGACATAATCTTTTTGGGGAGGAAAGGTGACCAATTTCTCAAAGGAGAAAGGCCAGGAGCTTTTTCTTCAGTGGGCTTTTATTGGGTTCAATTTGCACAGGAATACAGGTAAAGCTCATCAGTCATTGTCAGGCAGTAAAGATCAAACAACAGATAACACACAAAGAACTCTGAGGGCTTATTCTGAGTCAGGGTCAGTTAGCTAAAGGGCCATAAAACTTTGGAAAACAAACTCATTTCATGCTTGGACCCTTATCAGAAAATTGAGGACATTCTCAACAAAACAGGTTTCACAGGATTTTACGCATTCTTTCTCAGGCATGTTCACCCCAGGGAATCACCTGTTTTTGCCCATGGCTGCATCACCCTCTGGCATTATTTTACATTTAAGTCAGACAAGGGAAGTAAAGCAGCCAAGAGATTAGGATACTTCTTGCAGACAGAATAAAGACTCAGGCTATGTCAAAGCTGAGGGTCAAGGGTCCACCACCCCCTTTATCTAGAGCCCCCCCCACACAAGTCCTTCCCTGAGGGCCCCTTAGTGATAATGCCTGTCTTAGAACATCCCTCTTTTGAGGAATCTTAGCCATCATTGGCTAACCAGTCATCCGCCTGGGGCCAAGCAGGGTGAAGTAAAAGGGGGCAGAGGCAGCACCCCCTACCAAAGAGATAAGTTTTGTCTTCTTAATGGCTTATGGTCCCAAGGTCTCAGTCAGCTTTAGCCATGGGGGGTTACAGCTTCTGAAACCAGGCAGGTGGTTCCCAACACAGAGTAAACTTTATAGAACCAAAAACTATTGTAATATCTAAGACATTTTGTCCCCTAACTCCAAAATCCAAAACTTAAAGCCCAGTCTATTTCATCCATAGAATATACATACACACATAATAAATGTTTTGTTGATTTCACATGTTGTAGAATTAAAATATATTATATACAATATTATAATTTAAGATAATGCTATATGTTTTTATAAACAAAAATATAAATATTGGCACTTATTTAAAACCCAAATTAGGGCATTTCTTAAAATATGTGAAGGATGAATTTTGTCACTTGAATTTCGACCATGTATTTGGAATATTTTCCCACAGGTAGACTGTTTGTCCATGAGTGGGCCCATCTCCGCTGGGGAGTGTTTGATGAGTACAATGAAGAGAAGCCTTATTACAGTACTTCGTCAAAAACAATTAAAGCAACAAGGCATGACCATTTACATTTTCTTAAATTACTTCAGCCTGTAACTTTCTCTTTTCCTTACTTTGATTTATTTGAAATACCATTCATTTTGTCCCAATGTAGATAACAGATGCTATATGACAAAACAGTGCTTTTCTAGTTTTGTTTTGTTTCATTTTTAGAAAATGTATCTCCAAGTACTAGTTGCCCATTTAAAATACAGATAACTTCAGGAGCATTTGGAAGCCAAGGTGACATACCTCTCCACTATGGCTGCCAGAACTCATTTACACTGAAGTTGTAAATGAAATCAACCAGCTTCAAGGAGCCAACAGGGATCTCTTAGGATTTATAAAATTTATTTTAAAATACCAATCTAACATCACAGTTAATAAAAGGCAATACTTTCAGTTCTGAGGTCAAGAGAGCTGAATGGGTGGAAGAAGTCTATCTAAAATTGTGCGCCATCAGTTTAATCAATCTTAGATGCCCCACTGGGGCTGGGGACTTATTAAAAATGCACAAACTCAAAGATACATGATTTCAATGAAGGCCTTTTATCAGTTCATAGCACCAGTTTCAGGACACATATTTTAAAGTGTTATAATGATTATATTTGTTTATATCACACTCCCTCTAAATGTCTAGTTTCTACTGCAGGAAATTCATCACGATTGTTAATATAGATAACATTATATTCACTGAGTTTTGGGATAGTAGGAGCATACATATATGTAGGACACTCCCTAAATGACTGTAGAAAAACTAGTCATTGTTTCTTAAATATGAACTGGAAGCACATTGAAAATGTGTTCACATCCCAGCATGTTTGATATATCCCATGCAATATGGGCATAATTGCAATTCTGTGCAATAAAACATATGTCTAAAATGCCTCCACCATTCTGCTCTGTCTGAGGCAGTACCTCAGTCTTTCCTTCAGGCCATATTTCACTTTGGATAAAAATGTTCCTTGACTAATCAAAACATTTGTAGTTATTCCATATCACATTCTTCTGGAGATCTCTTTTTTGAAAACAATCTCTGAAGAACAAGCTCAGGTGGTAGCAAGAGTAAATGGTTTCACAAGTAGATGCCTGCAAGGCATTTACTACCACAAGGCTACCAGGAGAGCTGTTAGGAAAAGGGGAGCCTCCAGCCATTTGTGTAAGCAGGGCAGCAGAAACCTTAATCTCAGCAGATAATTTAGCCATTGTGTATGCTAGAGATACCACTTAAAATTTCCCTCCGAAATTTCTTGGGAAATGGCTCTGGTAGAAAGCCTTAAACTTTGCTGTCAAATAAAAATAAAAACCTCGATAGAGAAACACAAGATTTTCAAAAAATGTTAATGGTTAGGTTGCCTCAAAGACTAACTGTCACCTATTTTCAGGTGTTCCACAGGTATTACTGGGAAGAATAGAGTTTATAAGTGTCAAGGAAACAGTTGTATACTTACTAGATGCAGAACTGATCCTAAGACAAAACTGTATGAAAAAGGTTGTCAGTTCTTCCCTGATAAATATCAAACTGAAAAGACATCCATAATGTTTATGCAAGGTATTGATTCTGTAAGTATGTCATACTTCATATTGTATATTTATAATCAAAGTACATGTTATCCTGTTTGCAAAATACCTGCGCAGGTGACCTGAACAATTAGATGTATTGATGTAGAATTATTTGAACATTGATTGGCACACAGTAAGCACTCAATTAGTGTTACTTATTATTACTATTATTGAAAATCCACCTTACTATTTATTATGATTCATCAATGAATCATATTTCATTAAGTAGCATATTTGCACAGCAGATTTTTTAATTTTTATCATACTTTTAGTCAAATTTTAAATACATTATATATAAAACTTATTATTTTCATTTTATTAACCTTTTAGGTTGTTGAATTCTGTGATGAAAAAACCCACAACCAAGAAGCTCCAAGCCTACAAAATGAAAAGTGTAACTACAGAAGCACCTGGGAGGTAATTAGCAATTCTGAGGACATAAAAAACTCCATGCCTATGGCGGGATCACCCTCTTCGCCTGTCTTCTCATTGCTGCAGACCAGAGAAAGAACTGTATGCCTTGTTCTTGATAAGTCTGGAAGCATGGGGGTAAGTTCATGGGCCCATTTTTCCTAGATATAGTGACTAGTGGGCAGGGGGAGTGAATGCCTAAGAACACCGAGAACATTGCCTTCACCTGGGTTGTTAAACTGCATGGTGGCATAAGTCCCATCACGTCCTGGGATCAAGACCTCAGATTGGGCAGTGACTATTGTAATGAAAAAAGGACAGCAATGGAGTTTAAAAGTCCTAACCTGAGGGTCTCTTTCTTTTCTTCCAGAAAATGGAGGGTTTACTTAGGAGGACTTTTAGGCCCATTAATAAAGATTTAGTTAGAAGATCGGAACATAGATTGAAATATTGAAGTATTTTCTCATCTGCCCCCTTTACCTACTGGAAATACTTGACAGATATGAGGACAAAGAGGATTGGTGAACTCCTTTCAGAGTCAATCTGCTTTATCATCTATATAAAGGACCTCTTAACAGTCAAAGATACAAACAAAAAGCTTCACCATAAGGAAAATATGGTCAGATTTAGCCACTCATTCCTTCCACTATCATTCAGTAAATGGCACGATGCTAGGCTCTAGCAATCGAGATCCATAACCTTGCAGTGTTCACAGTTGCATTGCGAAAACTTTCCCTTCCACATTACTTGGTTAACTCATACTCCTTCAAAATTTTGTGCAGGCACCCAGCTCCTCCAGGAGAAGGACTGGTCTTCCAAGATGGGCTGAAGGCCCTCTGCTGGTCTCTCACAATGAACTGTACAAACCTCTGTTACTGTATATATATTGAAATCACACATTTCTCTCCCACTAGATGAGGCACCCCTCTAGTGCTTGGAACCATATCCTCTAGGAACCAGTCCTCTGGTACCTGAAACCATGCCTTACTCATATTTGTCTCCTTTTTGCCTCAAGCGAGATTTACCACATATAGGTGCTCAATAAATAATTATTGAAATAAATGGCCTACATAAGATCAGACATAACGTGATAAGGCACCCGGAAGGATGGCACATTTGAGGCAGAACTGAGCATGCTGAAGATCAGAAACAATATATTCAACAAACGGGGGATTGTGTGGTTATTGAAAAAGGCAGAGAATAATCCACAATAGCACAGGCTTTCAGAAGAGCATCAGTGCTAAACACCAGCACATAGAAATGTTCTAGGAAGTGTCAATGGGGAGAGATGATAGAGGCAGGAAGTGACAGAGACAGCCCTCAAAAATGGAGATGTAGAAGTCTCTCACTCTGATCTGGATCTAGGGAGTTCAGAAGGGAATTTGGGCATGTGTTAAGGGGAGGCACTACAGATAAGTCGGTGTTGAGGGACTGGAAAAGACAAAAATGTCTGAAGAGATTTACACCTGGGCATTCACTAGGTAAGAGAGATATGAGTCTTAATGGGTTCCCAGAGAACCAATTCCAAATAATTCATTGGTGGAGAAATGGTGGGGAGAGATTAGGAGAAAAGGTAGAAACAGGACCTCTCAGAATTTAGCTGCAGGTCAAAAAGGTTTTAACTTTTGAATTGTTTAGTTTCCAGTAGATAGGGAAATTTCAATCTCTAGTTGGAATCCTGATAGTCTAGTTTGATACTGTGGGACCTTGGAAGTGGTTTCATCTTCATACTGCAGCAGTAATTAGGAAGTCTCTAAGGTACGAACTATCACCCTGCAATTCCAACCCAAGCCCTGAACCTGCACCTGTATTTTGGGAGCTAAGTAGTCAAGAATCACTGCTAGTTAAAAGCCTGTGTTCCTTACTATACCATATATTTTCATAATGCACATAACTATATTTTTTAATATTATCAATTTAAAAATTGCTTTCTTTAATAATACCAATTACTAATAATGGAAATGACTAATAATACAAAATTCTTAACAGCTTCTGTTTACTCACTTTATGTAAACTGCTATTATTTTCCTGTCAAAACCACTTGGTTGTTTTTCTTGTCCTTGTTCATTCAGAGTTCTGATCGCTTAAATCGAATGAATCAAGCCGCAAAATTCCTGCTGCAGATTATTGGACATGGAACCTGGGTGGCGATGGTGCACTTTGATAGTGCTGCCTACATTAACAGTGAGCTGATCCAAATAATAAGCACCAAGGAAAGAGAAATGCTCTCGAAACTCTTGCCTACAGCAGCTAGTGGGGGAACTTCCATCTGTTCTGGAATTCAATCAGCATTTCAGGTGAAATTCATACTGCTTCTATAGTTTGTTTGGATTTTTAAAAATTTGTATTTATTTATTTTTAATGAGAGGGGAGAGGAGAGAGAAAGAAAGGGAGAGAAACATCGATGTGAGAGAAAACATCAGGAATTGGAACAGCCACCTTTCAGTTTGCAGTGCAACACCCCACAGCCTAAGTGGCATCAGCCAGCACCATTTGGTTTTTTATTATAAGGACTATTTTCTATTAGTGCTGCTGCACATACTTGCTCACTGATTTTGGCATAACTAATTCACTTGATTTTCTTAATGGATCAGTGAATCAGTGAATAAACCGATGGGTAAATACAGTACTATAAAAATGCCGCTGAGTATAAGTCCAATGAAGTCAAGGACATATTTTTTTTTGTTTCTTTCTTTGTTTTGTGTGTGTGTGTGTGTTTGTTTTGTTTTGTTTTTTACCTTGCAATAGTCAGTGCTCAATAAATGTTAGTTAAATAAACAAGTGTGTTGAGCAGCAAAAGTCATAAGCACTTAAGACAATGAAACAAGTTACATGGTATGATTCTACCTTGGGCCAATCCCCATTTTAGTTTCTGTGACATTCAGGTAGGACAACAAGATGCTTACCTATTAAAGCAGATGTAGCAGGGACTGTTAGTCACGGAGTAAGGAACACAGGTGAGAACATGAGTTCTGACATCACAGTACTGACTGCTATTTCCCAGCTATGTGATCTTGGGCAACGTTTTTAGTGTCTCGATGTCTTATCTGTAAGATATAGTCATAAAAATATCTACCTCGTAGGAAAATATGGGAATTAAATGAAATATATTCACATACAAGAACAATTATATTACATAGTAAATATATCATTCACATCTATTATCACAAATCTTATTTTTTCCAAGTTTTCATCTTGAGCTTAGAATTAATGTCAAATGTGTCATTTTCCTGCTTAGAAATCTTCACTCTCCCCTCGCAGTCAATAAAATTCAGTCTGAATTCTTCAGTCTGATGTTATTCAAAAGGCTCTTACCCCCTCAGTAAAGCTGCTCTCATCTCCCTTTCCAGCCTTTTGTCTCATTTCTCCCTTTCCGATGCTCTGCGCTGTAACCAATTTACCACGCCCACTGTTGGCCAAGCCCCCACCACGTGCTAACGGCCTCTGTACTTTCACACAGGCAACTCCTCTGCCTGAGTCTCCTTCTGTCCATCTTCGCAGGCTAACATTCTACCAATTTTTCAAAACCCTCCCTTCTTCCTGTAGCATTTTCTGTTGTTCCCCAAACTATTAAATCTCTCTCATTTATAAATTGTATAACATTTTAGTGTAGCTTTCCAGCATGAAGTCCTAGGTTAAAACTCCAATTATCACTTACTAGCTTTGTGGCACTAAGCATGATTCTTCATCTCTGAAGTCACCAATGACCTCATTGGTAACATGGGGTAATAAAGGCTGGTACATAGGGTTTTTAATGTTTTAATTTATTCAAGATATATTTATTGTAGAAAGTAGGAGGCAAACATATAATTTATTCAACATATACTTATGTGCCAAGCAAAGCTTCTCTGTTCTTGTGGTACATGTGATTTCAGTAAGGAACTGAAAATACATAAATAAATAAATGAATGAAAACAATAATGGTAGGTGGTAAAGACGGTGTTGTAAGGAAACCAAACAGAATAATGAGACAGAGTAACTGGGAAAGCAGGGGCACTGCCTACTTTAGGTGGAGCGGCCACTGAGACCCTCTCTGAAGGGTAACCATTAAGCTATGCTTTGAAGGATGAGAAAGAGCCATCAGTTCAGGCAGAGAGGAAAGTGTAAAGTCCCTTAAGAAAAGAACTGGATTATTCTATGAATTTATAAAGCTAGTGGCACTGGAGTTTGACAAATGAGGGGGTGCAAAATGTAGTTGGCAGGTAGATAATGGCTAGATATTTCAAAGCTTAAAAATATAAGAGGTTTTCATTTTATTGTAAGCACAACAGAAAGTTACTGAAGGGTTTTAAGTATCAGAGATTGATCATCAATTCATGTTTTAAGATGACTTTGGTTGCCCTGTATAAAATAAACTGTAGGGAGTAAGAATAGTAGTAGGGTAGTGGGCCAGGGACAGATCAGGGGCTTGGACTTGAATTACACATCATATAAAATACATTTAACACTTAGCAAATGTTTCAGAGAGTGTAGCACTATAACACTGTGTTGTTTCTCTTGAACTACAGAATATATTCTCTTTGCCACTAATCTTTTATCTCCTCAGTCCCTCATCTCTATCTTAATAAATACTTTTTAATTTAATCTTTACTGTATTTTTTAATTGAAAAAGTAAGTTTATTTCCTAAATCCTAATGATGGTAAGGTCAATAAAATATTTTTCCATATGATACCATATTTAAAAAAAGTTATAGCACCTTAGTAAAACAGCACTGTCAGGCAAACAAATATTTTAGGAAATCCCCAAGATTGAAAGAAAGAGAATAAAGAAAGCCAATAAAATGTAGACAGAGTCTTCATAAAGAAACTACCTTCGTTATTGATTTTAAAATATTTAACATATAGCCCTGGCTGATGTAGCTCAGTGGATTGAGCACGGGCCTGCGAACCAGACAATCGCGGTTCGATTCCCAGTCAGGGCACATAGCAGGGTTGCAGGCCAGTTCCCTGCAGGCCAGTTCCCAGCAGGGGATGCATGAAAGGCAACCATACATTGATGTTTATCTCCCTCTCTCCTTCCCTTCCCCTCTAAAGATAAATAAATAAAGTCTTTAAAAAAAATAAAATACTCTACATTTGATGCAGTACATGTATCCAAATGTTAAAAAAAAATATTTAACATATATTTTTGTAAGATAAAATATAGTATTTTGAGCATAGCCATTTTATATCTCTTGAGAAATATCTCTAAAATTTTTAACTTTAAAATTTGTCTTATTTCTGAAGGAAATCTGAAAGTCTGTTTTCTTCCTCATTAATGTCTGACAGAGAAAGTGCATGCTTGCTTTGGTGAACTTCCCTGATCTTGTCATTTCAGGTTTGTGGTCACGTCTTGTGAAGTTTGTTGACAGCACATAGTCTCTTTGGAAATTTCACTTCTGTTAATTGTTACATTTTTTTACTGTATTTTTATATTACCTTTTAGTTTTCTTACATTCTACTCTCCCCAGTAACCACCACACTGTTGTCCATGTCCATGATTCCTTTTTTTTTTGTTCCATCTCTCCTCCCTCCAACCTCCTCCTCCCCACTAGCTGTCATCCTGCTCTCCATTTATGAGTCTGTCTCTATGTCATTTGTTAGTTCAGTTTGTTCATTGGATTCCACATATGAGTGAAGTCATTTGGGATTTGTCTTTCTCTGACTGGCTTATTTCACTTAGCATATGTTCTCCAGGTTCATCCACACTGTTGCAAAGCTAAAATTTTCTTCTCTTTTATGGTGAAGTGATATTCCATTGTGCAAATGTCCTATAGTTATTTTATCCACTCATCTATTGATGGACCCTTGGGCTGTTTCCATGTCTTGACAATTGTAAATAATGCTACAATGAACACAGGGGTACTTATATTCTTTTAAATCAGTGTTTTGGATTCCTTTGGATATATTTCCATTAGTGGGATCGCTGGGTCAAAAGGCAAATTCATTTTTAGTTTTTTGGGGTATCTCCATACTGCTTTCACAGTGACTGCATCGGTCTGCATTCCCCCCACAGTGCAAAAGTTTCCCCTTTGTCCACATCCTCACCATCGCTTGTTTGTTGATTTATAGAGGCTAGCCATTCTGACAGGTGTGAGATGGTATCTCATTGTGGTTTTAATTTGCATTTCTCTGATGATTCAGTAAATATTTTTCAATTTCATTCCATCCTTGCCAGGAATGCAGAAGCCATGTAGTGCTATTGAATCCCCAGAAGCCAAAACAGTGACTAACACATATTAAGTACTTAGTGAATAACTAACACAAGAAAGGAAAAGGTGAAGAAAAGAGAAATCTGCTTAATCTTTGGATCTTTGCAATGAAATGTGTAGGGAGGATGTGATGGTGATTCAGTAAATATATAAAAGCATTTCCCATTTCTCAGTCTCAGTTTGTTAGGGATTTTCACACAGGAAACCCTTTCTTGCAAATCTACACACCTCCACTCCAAACGCATGGAAGTCACTGATAAATCTGTTAGTTTTTCCCCTTGGCCTGCACTGGATTTCTCCAAATGGTATACCAAGAAGCCACTACCAATTAAACCTCTCAGAGAAGATAAAATATAATTGCTGTCCCGTGACAAATTCTCTTATCCTTTTTTACAGGAGCCTAGATTCAGAAATATGAGTGTAAACTGTTTGGCTTTGTAGGAAAGGGGTTCAAGCCACAAATAGAATTCCATCTCAGTAAACATAATTCATGTATTCTCTGAGCACCACCAATATATTTAGTTTTGTTACTTAGCTTGTTACTTTTAGATGTAAAATAAAAGTTATAGAACTAACCTTGGCCTGCTTAGAACTTTCTATATCCTTTCTTTATAAGCATACGAGGGTTCCCCAATTTGAAACCATTAAGATTTTTTAAATGTTCAAGTGGTTGCATAACGTGTTTAGCTATCTGTACAACAGATTTATCTGTGCAACAGATTTTATATACTGAACGTTTGTCAGAGCAAGGTCTAGTCAAAGAAATGAGAAATATTTAACGCTACTCTACAATTACATTTCTAGTGCCTGGTTGACCTGACTTCCCCAGACTGAGATGTAATTGTTATTTAACCCAAGTAGGATCTTCCAAAGCCCTGCTTCCACGTAATTTCACTTGAGCAAATATTCGCTATAGCAGATGGACAGAAAATACAGTCACATTTAACTTCCCTTAGAGGTTGTTGATTGCAGATTCTATAATTTGAAAATAGAACCTATCTCTTTTTTCTGCACATTTTTATTTTCTCTGTACATCTTCTTCTAATTTCCTGTAAGTCTACTTCACCTAGGAATATTTTCTAATTATGCTTTGATTAGGTAATTAGAAAAAGGCTCTCCCAAACAGATGGATCTGAAATAGTGCTGCTGACCGACGGGGAGGATAACTATGCAAAAAGTTGTATTGATGAAGTGTCAAAAAGTGGAACCATCATTCATTCAATTGCTTTGGGGCCATCTGCTGATGCAGCAGTCACAGAGATGAGCCTTATAACAGGTAAAATATGCCCTGTGTATTCTAGTCCTTTAATAACAGTGCATAAGTGTAGAAACTGACAACTGAACTTCTTTGGAGCTCTGAAGGCACTGTTCCAGGAGCTAGGGACCACAATTAAACCATACCTGATCTCTGCTGTCAAGGTGCTCAGAGTCCAGCTGGCTAGAGTGACAAATAAATCTACCAATCAGATAGCATAATCAGATAATATTCCTCCATAACAGGGGGACTATATCTGAGGCAAGCACTATGTGAGCAGAGGAAGCCATTAATTCTCCCAGGGTTGTATAAATCAGGGAAAGAAGGCATGAGAGGCCAGGCGACTTCTGAGCTGGGCCTTGAACAAGATGCTGAATTTCTCTGGGAAAAAAAGGGTAGAAAAGATGATCAGGTCATGAGTAAAAACTCTTGTTGTCATGAGGATGCAGGACACGTGGAGGGACAGTAAGAAATCCCTGAGACCAAAGTTTACTTAGGCTGCAAGTGTAGGTGGGAAATAGGGTTAACAGAGGCTCAACTGATCAGATCAAAATAGCAAAGAAGGTTCTAGATAAAAATTTACTCTGGTAGCTATTATCTGAGATACTGAGATGTGTGATAAAAATGGATTACTTGTTTTCAGTGCCTTCTTAAATATAGTACAGAATACACAATTTAAAACTTTGTGATATCAATTATTACAGGGTGGGGCAAAAGTAGATTTACAATTGGGAGTATGTGAAACATAGAATTTATTTCTGTATTATTATTGATTAATTATTGTATTATTTTCCACGTGGACAATTGTAAACCTACTTTTGCCCCACCCTGTATATTGACTTGGCTTCTAATGTTACCAAATATACACTTGTTTTTTAAATGCTTAGTTGTATAAACTCCCGTAGTTTCAAAGTGCTTCCATGGCCTTTGTAGACTTTATTTCTGTCCCAATTAGCCCCCCAAAAGTACTCCTTTTGGGCACTTGTCTCCATTGTTTACTGTGTTTCTCTCCCCTCATTACCAGCTATGGTCAGGCTACCTCGATATAGCAGCTCTTTAACCATCCTGGTTCTCTGATTCTGATCCACTGTGGCTGGAAAATCTCAAAGCCAACACTGTTAAGAACTGTATCATAAAGTAAAAATGAGTAATTCTTTGAAGGGACTGTGTGAAGTCTGAGAGCTTTAATATGTGGAATTATAACAGCTTTTTAAAATATTCTACGATTATTTAATGCATTTCAACCAGCTGAGATTTCTATAAGTGAAGTGTACAGGTAGCTTCCACTTTCTGGTTATGGCACTTTTATGTTACTATTTTAGAGTTATTCTTTACCTCTATCTGGTTTGGTTATATTTTAATAAGATATACTAAGACTATTGGTTTGTTTACTGTTACCTTAAAATCACTAACTAAATTGTGGTAAGTACTTAGTAGAAAGCAGCCTAGTTAATGTACTTACATTTTAGGAGGAAGCCATTTTCTTGCCTCGGATAACACCATGAACAACGGCCTCATCGATGCTTTTGGGAAGCTCGCATCAGGAAACACCGCCGTTTCCCGGAAGTCTCTTCAGGTCTGAGTTCCTATTCCTCGGGTTTTTGTGTTTGCATTTAGCCATAAACAAGAAAAATAACTTGGTTGTTACAAGTTTCGAGTTCTCTATATTTCACAAAGTAAATTGTTAATTAAATCAAAACTTAAGTATGAAATAGAAATTATTCTTTAGATATGGCCAAAGTAAATAGTGAAATAAGTAGTAAAATAACAGACATTTTTTTTCTTTTTCTTTTCACATAGATTTTGGTTACAGGATAACATCCTAGTGTTAAATTTTTCCATTAAAAAATAGACTTTGTCCCATAATATAGCATCCACTTTTCTGTGAATGCTTAAAAAATACCATACTTCTAAGATTTCTCACGCCCTTCAGTGTTGTGAAATAAATTTAAATTAGATGAATTAATTCAAGAACTTGGTTTGGAATTGGAACTAAAGTATCTTGGAAAGAAATTTATCTGAATAAATAGAATGAATAATCATTACATATCTACAAATTTAGGGTTTCCTTTAATGTTTTTGACCACTCTTTCACTGGCTTTCTATTTTATTCTCCTCTGAACTCAACTTCTTTATTCATTCATGTTTAAAAAACACTCTCATTTTCTGTTATTAGATTCAAAATCTTGGACTAAACTTTGATTCTTTATTCATGGCCCACGTGAAATGTCAACATAGTCTATTTCCTTGACAGTGTTTTTTCCAGAATTCTGTTTTTATCTGTATCCATTCCCACCAAGTCTGTTGTATGTGAAGGCTTACCCTCCATCTTCCCATTCATTAGATCACTGCCTACATTAAAGTTTGACATGATCACCTAAAAAAACCGATTTTCCTCTAGTCCCAAACAATGAAAATCACATACATTATAGGATGCAGGATGAGAATTCTATGTGCAAATTGATATAGAGAACTGGTCTGTAGCTTTACATTGCGAACAGATTAAATAGTGGTCTGGGATCTAGCTTGGCAGTGTATGGAGAATAAACTGAAGAAGAATAAAACTAATTTCTGAGTGTTTCACTCTGGTTGTCTTATAAAACAATGCTACTACTGTTTAAAATTGACAAGAGAAAAATTGATTTTGAAGATATTGTTTTGTGTTCTGTTTAAAATTTAGTGATTTTTAGTGGATAGTGGGACATTAAAATATAATATTCCAAAGGAATTTTAAATATAAGAGCAGGATGTAGAAACTCAGCCATAAAAGAGACATTTGCATATAGAAGTTTAAAAAATGGACTTCATAAACTGTATGGAAGGGGCAGAAAGGTTTTGCTCCCCTCACTTAAAATCCCAAAGAGTGGGGTTTTGCCCCGCTCTGTATGGCAGCCAGAATACAGAGGAGAGGGTGTATCTCACGCTTTACTCAGTTATTTTTCCCTGCTGCTATGTAACCAAAGGCTTCTAACTTTCCTGATGGAGAGTCTAAAAAAGTCACTCACTTTAAAAAAATAACACTGTCAACTTGATAATAACACTTTGTCCACTCAAAGACATATCTCCTTAACATAGGACTGAGATTTTTGTCACCACAATGATGTTTCAATGGTAAAATTCACTCTCTTCTCTCAGCACTCATATAGAGGTATATTTGGTTTAAGGCTGGGTTGGAACAGAAGTGAAATTCCCCATCATTTTCTGAAATGACACATCTATGGAAAGCACCTTTTTGGTCAGTAGATTAAAGTCTGCTGTACTTGACTAAGAGCCATCCACAAAGACTTGAAAAACTTTCTTTGAGGCTCCTCTCGGACAAAGATTCTAACGTTTGTTTCTCAAGATTCCAACCTTCATAAACATCATTTTGCCCTCTTCACATCCCTCTTGGGCTTGTTTATTGTCAAGGGTTACTCACTCTTAAATGTGTGAAAAGTTATTTGAAGATTTCACACCAGAAAAATATCCATGAGTGCTTGTCCCAGGATTTGCTAGTCCTGGCATTACTGAGTCTCTACTCAAATACTGTAGCCACCACCATCAATAAGTCTTTTCTTTTAGGTCATCAAGAAGTTGGGTAAACTGAGGGCAACTCACACGCACACATACACACACATACACCCTACAGGAATCCTTCTTTGACTTTTAGCACCCTTTAATGCTAAAGTCTCAGGTGGATGTTTACAAAATAATTGAGAAAAATAATATGGCCATGTCTCCAACTGTAAAACACATTCTCCTATTCTAATGCTTTTATTAACTTCTATCCCTTCCTCAGACCCTATGTCTCCATACCTTCTACCTAACGACTGTCACAGCCCAATCAGCTTTCAGAGAGATCACAAGCCTAAGGAAGTTTGGGCCCATATAAGCTTGTTCTCACGTCAGGCTGGAAATTAAAAGCTATGTTTTAAAAAGAATAAAGAATAAAATTACTCTTCTCTCCAGGCACTAATTTTAAATATATATGTTTGTATAGCTTGAAAGTAAGGGATTAACACTCAACAATGATATTTGGATGAATGGAACTGTAATAATTGATAGCACCGTGGGAAAGGACACATTTTTTCTCATCACGTGGGAAAGACAGAATCCCATTATTTCTCTCTGGGATCCCACTGGAACATCAATGGGAAATTTCATAGAGGACCAGGGCTCCAAAATGGCCTATCTCAGTATTCCAGGAACTGCAAAGGTAAGCAATGAGCTTTTTGATTCCCACACAAACCTGTTTCATAGCTTAAAATACATTGTTTAATATCATAAATATGAGTACCAATACTTGTGTTATCTTCAAAATTAAGATAAAATACAATGTACTTTCTATGCTGGTATGATCCTGAAAATTATGGGGGCAGGAAAAGGAGGAAAGAACTTACACATTAAAAGGAAGGAAGACAAGGGAAAAATGTAGGTAAACTAAGAATAACCTTGAGGAGGCAATGCAGGGAGTCTGTGAAACTTGGTATGTGGATAGTCATTTCTTATTAGCACTACAAGATCATAGAATCTATGAAATCTGAGGTCAAAAAATAAGGCCAAAACCACAGCAAACTTTCTAAAACTTACTTTCCCCAGCTAAAATTTCACAAACTTTGGAAACCATGCATGACAATAACTAGGACGCGTTGTCCAAATCACCTCAACTCTCATCCTTTTACCTCAAAAAAGCCTCAAAAGAAAAATCTCAAAACCCTGTTCATTCTGCAACAAATTTCTAAAATTTATTTTAGAGTTGAATCACAGAAATGCAGAAAATAGTTTGATCTTGGATACTTACTATATTTCCATTGAATTTTTAGGCGGGTGTTTGGACTTACAGTATTCAAGCCAAAACAAACCCAGAAACATTAACTATAACAGTTCATTCTCAAGCGGCAAATTCTTCTGTGCCTCCAATCACGGCGAATGTTCAAATGAATAAAGACACAAACAGCTTCCCCAGCCCAATGATTGTTTATGCAGAAATTCTACAAGGGAATATACCCATTCTTGGAGCCAACGTGACTGTATTCATCGAATCAAATGGTGGAAAAACAGAAGTTTTAGAACTCTTGGATAATGGTGCAGGTAACTTACAGGCTTTTTTTTTAAAGAATAAGCTTATTTTTTCATAACTCAGGATATGCTATGGGCCCAGTGGCAGTGTTGGGGAGTGAGAGACACAAAGAGAAATGATGCAGATTATGGATGAACAGCAGGGCCAGCAGGAAATTCTATCTAGGTAAAACCTACAAAGTGATTAGCAAATATCTTGTACATAATAACACTCAATAAATGTCATTTGTCAGCATTATTGTTTGTCATCGAGACTGTCAATGTCTGTCACCAAACAGAAAGGTCTCATCCAAGAAACTGAGGACAGCATCAAGAATTCTGAACAAGTGTTTCTTAGGGGCACACCATCAAGACTGGCCGATGAGAGTGAAGCTCAGCAGCCATAGTGCTTAAGTGGTAGAATCTGGGTCCCCAGCAAAGAAGGAAGGACAGGCACAAGTAATTCCCAAACTGCAAATATAATCCTGGAAACTGAGGCCCAAGGGCAGGGAGAACTGCTACAAGAAAGGAGGGGACACCTTGAGGGCATTACATACCAGGTCTGACTGGCAGAAAGCAAAACACAGCACTAGCCATGCTGTCTCCATGGTCTCTGTGAATAAGCGGGGCTTAAAGACCTTTTTCATAGACTCTGGGTTATTCTGGGATCTGAACCTTCATTTGAGAGGTCAGTGAGCAAGGGAAAAACTAGTCTGATAGACATCTAAATTATCACAGAATTTCTATCAGTATCATATGCAATGTAATTAATTCAGTCAATTTATAATCCTATCATCAGTAAGAGTTGGCCCTATGAAAAACTTAGAAGGTCAAATTATTCTTTGGTTCACCTCAGTGACTTCACCTGATATGACAGTATTTTCCTCAACTCTCCTCTAATTCTTCCTTTTCCCCTACCCCTTCCATGGTACATTAAAACTTTCGGGTATCTTGTGATTTTGCAAGGTTTTACCAGGTAGTTACTCAGCTAATTTGGAATGCCTTTACTTAAGGATATGTTGGTCATTATCAATGACTTGAAGCAGGGATTTTAAACTTCAGCTAACAAAGGGACCACCTGGGGGTTTATTATAACATAGGATGCTGGGCCTTTCCCTAGGAAGTCTAAGAAATTTGCATTTCTAATACAATCCAGAGAGATGCAGATGCTGTGGGTCCAAGGACCTCTTTTTAAGAACTTCTGTCTTAGAATGTTAAATGCCCTGAGGAATGTGTTTGAAATTTAGCGGATAAATTCACTGCTTGTAATACCAAGAAATATACTTATGATACGGTTCTCCTAAATTTTCCCAATAGTTTATTCTAATAATAGATGGGTCTTTCCACTATCAGACCAGGAAGTTCAAGGATCAAAGAGCAAGAAGCAAGGGTTTAAAAAAAGAAAGTAATAGAAGACTATGTCAAAACAAGTAATTTATAGGTGATTATAGTGAGAATTAAGTCTTATGCTAATATACTTTTTCTTTAGTGGAGATCCTTCTGATCTGAACAAAGATGACATAATTGTGTTTAGATAATGTAAGAGCTGCAAAGCAACCACTTGGCTGAGAAATCCTAGAAGTACTACAATAATCTGCATATAAGTTGATAAAGTGAAGTTATTTATTATGAACACGCCAGTATCAGTGTTAATGTTTGTGTAATATGTATATTACAAAATAATATATAGTATTATACATGTGTTATATATAAATCTATAGATCATAACTCAAGGATATCAATTTAACAATATACTGGTCGATAGAGCGTAATGGAAATATTCCCCCAGGGGTCAATCACAAAATGGGGAGCCCAATCTAGGTGATAGGCTTACAAAGGCCATGTGCTTGACTGTAAAAATGAATACATGTCTCCTTTTCTTTATACTAATAATTTACTTCTTAATTTCTATAACAAGGTGCTGATACTTTCAAGAATGATGGCGTCTACTCCAGATATTTTACAGCTTATTCAGAAAATGGCAGATATAGCTTAAAAGTACGGGTGCATGGAAGAGCAAGCACTGTCACACGAAGCTTTAGGCATTCGCCAAACAGAGCCGTGTATATACCAGGCTGGGTAGTGGATGGTGAGTAACTCACGATCTCTGAAACCCATTGCTGGCTGACACAATCATGAGTTGATATGATTAAGGCTTCAAACATTTTACAACTTGGAGTATAGCTTTTCCCATTTCTGGAATGAAGGTTTCAGTCATACTGGGGTTTGCCTTCAAATTAACCGGTGCTGTGGTACAATGTCTGTCATCTAGTAAGCATTCAATAAAGGTCAGCCATTATATTAATTTGGAGCGCCTTACCTATAGCAACAATAACATGCCAGATTTCCAACTAAGGGTAAAGAAAACAGGCTAATTTGTTATGTACCTAAGCATAAACCAGTAGCAGAATTTTATCCTTCAGATTACATGAAAGATACATGAATAGTTAAATATTTACTTTGAATATTTTTACTAAGTCAAAAGAAAATAGGTATTGAGCAAAGTGGTGATAAGAATTAAGAATGCAATTCTTGTTAATTTTCCCTTGTCTTTTCTCTTATCTTGTGACTTTTAGGGACTTTCTGTTGACAATTGGATTTTATAACCTGAAGTATTTATTCCTTAGCACTTGCAACAGGGAGGAAGGAAAAACCTGGCACAAGTGTTTACAAGGGAAATGGTAGTAATTTCCGCAGGCTTATTCCCAGCTTAGAGAGAATTTGAGAAACATAGAAATTTTTTTTTTTTTTTAGAAAAAGCATATCTTGAATTGTATAACATTATTCCCATTCAGGGAGGCCTGGTCATTATCCATTTATATTCCACAATATCCTAGTCAGGATGCTAAAGAAAACAAATTCTTCCACCAAAGGGATGCTTACAACTTTATTACCAAACTTAGTAAAATTTTACTGTGACTATATATATATGGAGGGGCTAAAGGACAGTTACAGGGGAAATAATACAATAATTAATAAATACTACAAAAATAAATGTTTCACATACTCACAAATGTAAAAATTTGCCCCATTTTTTGTATGTATTATATACACTATATTTAATATATATAATATAGGGACTTCTTCCAAGATGGAGGCCTAGGTGGAAACATTGTGCCTTCTCGCACAACCAAGTTTAAGGCCAACAAAGTTTTAGTAACAAAATACACAGCCATAACACAGAATATTGAACTATACAGAAGTCCAACAACGAACCTTTCAGCCAAACTGGTAAGAGGGGCAAAGCCAGCAGCAGAGCGGGGTTGGGCAGGAAAGATCCACTGGACTGACCCAGGCATGCAACCCAGGCGTGCACCTGGGTATGAAAGCAGCCCTGGGCAGATTAAGGTGTGGAGTAGCAACGGGCAGACCCACTGAGGGCACAAGGCAGCAGGCTGACCGCAGTCACACATTTGCATGCAGATAAACCAGCAAAGGAGTGAGCAGTGAGACAGACTGCGCAGGTCCCATGGCAGGAAGCAGCAGAGGAAACCACTATTCCCCCTCTTTGACCCCGCCCCCACATACAGCATCACAAAGCAGCAACCTGGGTGGCCCCGCCCTGGTGAACACCCAAGACCCTGTTCCTCATACGTAACAGGCACAAACAGACCAAAACATGGCTCAAGAAGAATTCAAACCCCTGGAGCCGATAACTATAAGTGACCAAGAAATAGCCAAACTTTCCAATGCACAGTTCAGAACACTGGTGATCAGAATGCTCACAGAACTGGTTGATTTTAGTCACAAATTAGAGGAACATATGAAGGCTAAACTAAGTGAAATGAAGGGAAATGCACAGGAAACCAATAGTAATGGAAAGGAAACTGGGACTCAAATCAAGGAAGTGTACCAGAAGGAAGAAAAAAATGACCAAACAGAAAAATATGAAGAAACAAGAATTCAAAAAAATGAGGAGAGGCTTAGGAACCTCCAGGACATCTTTAAACGTTCCAACATCCGAATTACAGGGGTACCAGAAGGGGAAGAGGAACAGCCACGAGTGGAAAACTTACTTGAACAAATAATAAAGGAGAACTTTCCCAATCTGGCAAAGGAAATAGACTTCTAGGAAGTCCAGGAAGCTCAGAGAGTCCCAAAGAAGTTGGACTCAAGAAGGAACACACCAAGGCACATCATCATTACATTAGCCAAGATTAAAATGAAGGAGAGAATCCTAGAAGCAGCAAGAGCTAAGGGGACAGTCACTTACAAAGGAGTTCCCATCAGACTGCCAGCTGATTTCTCAAAAGAGACCTCACAGGCAAGGAGAGGCTGGAAAGAGGTATTCCAAGTCATGAAATCCAAAGACCTACATCCAAGATTGCTCTATCCAGCAAAGATTTCCTTTAGAATGGAAGGACAGATAAAGTGCTTCTCAGATAAGATCAAATTGAAGGAGTTCATCATCACCAAACCCTTATTACATGAAATGTTAAAGGGACTTATCTAAGAAAAAGAAGATAAAAAAGATGAACAGTGAAAGGACAGCAAACTCGAAGTTATTAACAACCACACCTAAAACAAAAGCAAACTAAGAGGACAGCTAGATCAGGAGTAGAACCATAGAAATGAAGATCTCATGGAGGGTTAGCAACAGGGGAGTGGGAGGAGGAGAAGGGGGGAGAAGGTACAGAAAATAAGTAGCATAGACGGTAGGTAGAAAATAGACAGGGGGAGGCCAAGAATAGTATGGGAAATGTAGAAGCTAAAGAACTTATGACACATGTTCATAAACTAAAGGGGGTAAGATGGAGGAGGGGGTGTGCAGGGTGGAGGGGAATGAAGGGAGGAATAGAACTGTGATGGCATAATCAATAAAATATATTAAATATATATATATATATATATATAATATACACCATATACTATATATTATATGTGTGGGGGAAACTTTGCCCTCAAGTCCCCCCATCTGCCACAGATGAAAATAAAACTATCAAGACATGATCTGCTTGAGGAGGAGAGGTGGTCTATCTCTCACAGGAGAAGGACTAAGAACCCCTTCCTCAATGGCTTTTATTAGGTTCCTAATACACAGGAATACAGGTAAAGCTCATCAATCAATGTCATTCGGGGATCAAACAATAGATAGCATTTCAAAGTAATCTGAGGGCTTAATCTGAGTCAGTGTCTGTCAGGTAAGGGGGCTGCAAAACCTTTGGGAGACATTCATTTCCTGCTCGGACCCTTATCTTATGAATAAAAGCACTGTTAGCAAAGCAGGCTTCCCAGGACTTTACAAATTCTTTCTTATGCCCAATAACCCTGGAATCTGCTTTAGCCAGCAAGGGGATGCACCACCCTCCCCATCATAGGTTTTTAGGCTTAAGTGGAGTAGAGCCAGAAAGCAATTCTCCCAGACGGAAATGGGGACTCAGGCTATGTCAGAATACATGGGGGGCGAGGGTCTATCACTCCCTTTTTGTTGCAACCCCCGGAGTTCTTCCTTGAGGGCCTCTCAAGTGATCGTGTCTGGCTTAGGTTGCCCCCCCTTTGAGGTATCTTACCCGTCATTGACTAACCGACCAAGCATTGGGGGCTAGAGATGGATGAAGCAGAAGCACTCCTGCCAGGGAGATAAGCCTTGTCTCAGTGGCTCACAGTCCGAAGGTCGCTCACTCAGCCTTATCCATGGGGGGCAGTTACAATTCCTGAAACCAAGCAGAGGGGTTCCCAACATATATGTAGTATATATACTGCATATACATATACAAAAGGTGAAGACACGTGGGATGGGAATTAATTTGAAAATACTAATAGGTTGTGCTCATTATAAACAAGGAAACTTTTAATGCAGGGGAAATTGAAAAGAATCCACCAAGACCTGAAATTGATGAGGATACTCGAACAAATTTGGAGAGTTTCACCAGAACATCACCTGGAAGTGCATTTGTGCTTTCAAATGTTCCAGCAATTCCCTTCCCTGACAAATACCCACCAAGTCAAATCACAGACCTGGAGGCCACACTGGATGGGGCTGTGATCAGGCTGACGTGGACAGCACCAGGAGACGATCTGGACGTCGGAAAAGGTAAGGATGAAGTGTTATGCGGCGTGGACTAAGTGGAACATGCACACACAACAGTAAAAGGGTGGGTGGGAGGAGAACAATTTTTGATAATTCAGTCATAGATTAATTTCATAATTGAATATTTTTGAATCTGTCAAATATGACACATTTTAACTGGTTCCACTTTCAAACAAAGAGGGTAGCAATGGCAAAGTTTAAAAATGATAATTCCACTTATATTGAAACGTTAGTAAGGCTTTGGATATGAGTATAAACTTAGCATAACTAAACAATATTTTTTTAATATTTTTTATTTATTTATCTTTAGGGGGGAAGGGAAGGAGAGAGGGAGCGAAATATCAATGTATGGTTGCCTGTCATGCATCCCCTGCTGGGAACTGGCCTGCAACCCAGGCATGTGCCCTGACTGGGAATTGAACCACAATCCCTTAGTTTGCAGACCCGTGCTCAATCCAGTGAGCCACACCAGCCAGGGCAACTAAACAATATTTTTGAGGTAAACAAATAAAAAAGGAATTTAACAGGGTATGCTCTAGTTTCTAAACTTGATTTATATGTTTTTTTCTCAGCTCAACAGTATATCATAAGGATGAGTGGAAACATCCTGAAACTAAGAGACAATTTTGATGATGCTCTGCAAGTAAACACTACTGACCTGTCACCAAATGAGGCCAACTCTCAGGAGAACTTTGCATTTAAACCAGGAAATATCTCAGAAGAAAATGCAACCCACATATTCATTGCCATTCAAAGTGTGGATAAAAGCAATTTGATATCAAAAGTATCCAACATTGCACCAGTAGCTTTGTTTATTCCTCAGCCAGATCCTGATGACATTCCTCCAAATTCGAATCCTGATCATCCTAATTCTGGAATTAGCATTTCTTCCTTGGTGTTGTTAGTGGTTGGATCTGGGGTAATTATTAGTATTATTTTAAGTGTCACCATTTGTATCTTAAAAAAGAAAAGAAATTCAAGCACAGCTAAAACAGGGTGTTAGAACAAATCAACAACAAAAGTAAAGAATATTTCTGAATTTTTAAGTTCATCCTGTGTGATCATGAAGTCATAAAAATAATTTTAGGAGTTCTAGAAGGGATACTTTAAGTATAAACATCCAGGAGTATTTGAAAAATTGTAAGTCAGTACTAAAGTTTAATCAGTTTATTTACTCATTGTTTTGTTTATCAGAAAAAGTGATGAATAAAAAACTTTTTTACATTAATATCAGGTTGGATATTATTTGGTAGAAAAGCTGTCTGCAGTAATACTTTCAAATTTCATAAAAATGTTAAAAATTGTCTGTGTGAATGGTCAAATACAAGTGTGAGAAAGCAAATAAACTTTATTTGAATAAAAATGAATTTGGTCTTAGAAGTTTTAGGTGTAATTTAATGTTACTGTATTCATCCAAAGTTTCCAGTTATATACTACTATGTGTAATATAAATAAGGTCAAGTACACCGCAATTCATCGACATGGAAGATACTAGCAAAAAAAATCAGCTACCACCTGTTAAACCCATCTCTCTTACTTCAGCTCAATATAATCATATATATTTCAGATAAAAAAGAAAACTAAAATTTTTAAAATATTTAATTACCACTGAGTCATAGTCTACAAGTCACAACCACAGTAATGAATGAGATCAATTAAAGAGAGAAAGTAGGTTGGGAAGAGCAGGTTCACATGGTCAGCAATGGTCAGGCTTTCCAGAGACCCTAAAGACGCAAACAAAATGAAACACGGAGCATGTAACTACGGACCTACTATGGTGCCCAGAAAATTTTCATTCATGCAGTAGCTGGACTTAGGAGTCCAAGATTACCAGCATATGGTTACCTGCTCTTCCAATTAGTGGTTATCTCACTTTGCACAGAGAGTTTTACCACCAAAATTCAATTCCCTGAGGAACCTGAGAGGCACAAAGACCAGCATCCATCATTTGCTTATCTATTATAAACTTAGCAGGAATTATTTAAAGGTTTGGAAGTGAACCCAAATGAAAGCTGTATACACTGAGTCCTGGGGTCACTTTTACCATCTAAACATAGAACAGACTTTTTGATCTGACATAATTAATTTGGTATGATTAGCAGGATTGACAAGAAGGACCCTGTGTTTGAAATTGGAAGTAGTAAAGAAGCAAGGGAAGAGGAAATAAGTAGGAGACCCACAACTACTGGTGTGGTTCGGTACTCTCATAGCAATCTTTGGAAAACAAGCTGTGCTGTAGGGCATTTGGACACAGTGCTGTAGAAGGTCTACTTGCACATTCCTTTAGTGGGCTGGTACCTACTCAACCAGTGCTAGTGGCTATGGAGAAAATGTAGAAAATGTAGAAAATGTAGAAAAGGGTAAGTGTAGGACACCTGGCCTTTTACTGAGAGGTAAATAAACACCTGAAATTCTGTATTGGCAATAGAAATAATTTACAACAGCTAGATTTTCCTTGTGCCCTTCCCACCTCACCCCTACCCCCAGCTCTAGTAAAGCCTACCATCCTGGTTATAATTACCCTCCCAGATGCTTTAGGGCAATGCTCATGTGGATCTCAGTGATGGGCTCTCCCGTCAGGTCAGGCATTGGTTTAGATCTATTTCTAGGACTGCATCTAGTAGTTAATAGTGAACTAGTAAAATTCAGAAAAATAACTGAATGATTATCATTGTTATAGTCACTGTTCAAATAACACTCCATGTTCAAAATTAATAAGAATTTCAAGATGGCAATAGCAAAGTATTAAACCAAGTAGAGGGACCTTATAAGCATGGGGTTCTGTACAAATCCATAGATCTCATGCCCACTAAGCCAATCTCTCTCACTATGACACAGGATCTCTCATTCTTAGGCTATGAGGTGCTTTTCATGTCCAGGAAAGCCTGTTGCCACCACCCCTCCACTTTCAAGTCCTACAGACACATGGATGATTCACACTCATCCTTCAGCTCTTAGAAGAGCTGTCACTTCCCTGGCAAGTATTTCTTAACTCTTCCAGTCCCCCTCTGACGGGATTAAATTCCTTTCACTATGCTGCTGTTGAAAATGGGGTGCTTTAACAGGGTCACAGGGAAAGCATTTGGGGAGACTGACATGTGGGAGGTTGAAGTTATGTGGTAAGATTCACTGTAGAAGCAAAGTCAAAGGACTGCCCACAGGTTCCCACTATTCCATCTCCATCCATCCCACCATGGAAAAAGTTCAGACCTGTCTTCATCAGTCCCAGAAATAGGGCTTCTGTCTATGTCTCTATCCTCATCCAGGTAGCTGCCTGTGCTCCCAGCAATACTCTGGCTGGCTGTGTGCCCAAGCCCATGTGGTCTGACCTGGGCTCCAGGTGGCTGCTAGGAACATATGGCTGCTATGGAGAGAAAACACATGAGGAAATGGAACACGTGTGTAAGAGAGAGAAAGACAGAAGAGAGCTTTGTTAAGCTTGGGTTGTATTGTCTCGGAATTGGGAAGAACCAAGTGCCATTTCAAACTAATCAGTCAACTTCCCAATCTTTCATGGGCTTCTGATGTGTTCACCCCTAACCAATCTGTTTACTAGACCTTCTGGGGTTCTGTGTCCCTTATCCAATCCAACCCTTTTCACAGGCCTAGAAACAAACATTACACTGTGATTAAAGGTATTTAAAAAGGTTTTTAAAGAGAAAAAATAGGTATTAATTAATACCTTTGTTTGGAAATATACTATTTATGTTGAGCTAACTAATTATATTTATCTTTCAATGTATATATAATAATATTAGTCATTTATTGATGCTAGTTTATTTCAAAATTTTTGGATTAATGAAAGTTGTCATTTTCTAGATTTCTTTGACTCAAGTTACATCGGAGATATGGGGCAGGGAGACTTAAAATATAAGAAAACTGAATTAAAACATTATAAATATAAATTTGTAAATGGCAACATTCTCTCATAGGCAGAGTATTTGTCCATGAGTGGGCCCATCTCCAATGGGGATCATTTGATGAGTACAATGTGAATCAGCCATTCTATATTTCCAGCAGCAACACTATTGAAGCAACAAGGTATTGTTGTATAGAACAAATCTGTCTTCAAAGTTTTTCACCTATGACTGTTTACTTTTTGTACTAGGCGAAGAAAGTCTGTCTCGGTGGCTGACTGCCCAGTTAGCTGCAATATGCAACCTATTCCACTGTTTATATATATGTCCAACTACTGGGGATTCCACCTTGGAATCAAGAGCAATTAGAAATTGGGAATCATTTTAATATTCATGGGGATTATACTAAAATATGCTATTGTCAGAGGAAAGAGGAAAAAGCTGTAGTCTGGACCTTAAGATATCTAAGAAGTGGAGTTTAAATCTTTACCCGATCTTCTATTTCATTTGATTAATAATGCTTTAAGGTGAATCTGTTTAATTAAAATCAACTGAACTACTAGAGCTTCATGTTAAAGATATTCCATTTTTCATTTAATCTTTTTTTCTTTTTCTTTTAAAAAAGTACTTCCCAAAAGGATATGTAAGTTGATTTTTAGAAAAATATAATTCTGGGTAGATTTAGATGGGTCCTATTTATGAATAGATATTTAAATTAAAAATATCAAGTATGTACAGTATTTAAAGAGTGTTAAAGAACAATAGAAATTAGTGTAATAGAAAAAAAATCTTTGGGAGAAAAAACTTATTTTGCAGGAAACGGCTGTGGTAGAAAAAAGCCTCTCCCCATCTCCTTTGGGTTATTTGCTTTATCTCTTCTGAGCTGCTTAGAGGCTCCTATGCACTGGGCCCTCAACCCAGGCTACTCATTCCTCCCACCTGACCTGTCTCACACAACATCTCCCAGCATGTCTCCCAGCACCACCTCCCTTATCCAAATAATAGTGTTCAGCCTTCAAGATTCAGTTGATACGTTTCTACCCTAAGCCTCTTTCCTTTCCCTCCATTTGGGGTTAGATATCCTTAAGAGTATTACCAAAGGAATGTACAAGGGCTTCTCTCACACTGGAAGGAATTGTCTGTGCAATTTTATTTTCCCCAATAGACTTCAAGATTCTTGAGCACTATTTTTCTTTTCTCATCCATTGGCCTTAGGCCTGGCACAAAGTAAGTAAAAGCTAAACAAAGAATGTATCAAACAGCAAAGTTTTAATAAATCAATGAAAAATGAATGCATTTCCATCTCAGTCATAAAAGAGGCATATTAGTAAAAATAAGTGGCTAAAATAACATTTATTAAGCTCCTACTGCATGTCAGGCACTTCGAGGCACTGTGAGTTTAACTTTCAGGCTTACTTTAGAGTGAACCCTCTTGGAAAATAAGACTCACTCTATCCTTTAATCCTTAAAATACAAATAAATGTATTAAAGTGGATTGTTATGAAATTTAACAATAACACAAAAAGGAAGTAAATTCTGTAGATAAACAGGAACTCTTTAGAATCTTTTATGAGTACCTGAATCCCCATTCCCTGCCAGGTTCTTGACAATTATCTTATCATAAAGACTGACAATTACCTTATCATAAAGATTAATGCCATAAAGGCATTAATTCCAGAAAAATTCCAGATGGCAAGGGAATCCATAATGTTTATGCAAAGTCTTGATACTGTGAGTACACTCTTCTACAAGTCTCACAAAGGAACACTTTGGGAAAATTTGATTAGGAAGCTGGATTTTCTACTATGAAACTTGTTTCTACTATGAAACCAGTAGAAATGAGGGACATTACTCATTGAACAGCCGTTTTCTCCAGCCTGTGTCAGGGAGCGCCTGAGAAATATTCCACCCTTTCTTGTTGACCTGTTTCTTTTCTGTAGATGTAGAACTGTGCCGTCTCATTGGTGTCACATAATTCTTATAACAACTCTTCCTTCATCTGACTCTGTAGATTTGTGTCTAAAACGACAACCTTACTTTTAATTCTCTCTTCCATTAGTCATAATACTTCTCCAGAGTAATTCATCCTGTAGTTTGGGAAAGTCCTAGCACTAAAGCACACAAACCTATTGCAAATGATGCTGTGAAAACATATATGGTTCTGTCTCTACAGAACAGACTTAAAGAAAAAAGTTCACAATCACCCAGTGGACCAATCAAAAATTAACAGCAGAATAATTCAAGATCCAAGGTTAATTTTGACCAGATATATCTGGTTTAAATGCCTAAAGCTCAGTGAATAAGAACAGGTGCTTTGAAGTCAGATAAATGTGATATCAAAACTTAGTCTGTCCTTCTCAAGCAATGTCACTGTGATCAGACTGCTCAATCTGGGATGTAGTTCTCTTGTCTTAAATGGCAGTTATCATGCTCACTTGACAGTGTCATTGTAGTTAGGTTTACAAGAGGTAACATAAGTAAAATGTTAACATGGTG